CCCCCCCCCCCCCCCCCCCGGTGGTGTTGGTGGCGAGGGGGCAAGGGGTGGCAAGCAGTGACAGCCCACAGGCGCTACTGGCAGTGTCACCATGCTCAGGGGGGTGCACATGCACCTGGGTGCACCCCTATGCATCGCCGGTGGGGCTGGGGTTGCACTGCCATGATAAGGATCAGGCCCCTTGCAGGTCCCCCCACTGTTCCCCCTGATGCACACATGCTAAGCAAAATGCCTTGGTGTGCTGTGCTATGGCATGCATGCTGGTGGTTGCCTACCCGTGTGCTAGCAGTTTCTCCCACCACGGGGGATAAGACATTTTTGAGAACTATAAATAGGGACCTACCTAAATCATGGAGGTTGTCTCCACTTTTGCAGTCCTGGCTGAGCATCCATAACCATTTTTGTAGCACTCTTGAATCCCAAGGTCAAGCAGGGGCAGAGCCAAGAGAAACACCACTGAGGCTGCAACTCCAGCTCCACTGCAGCCCCCAATGGAACCCTGAATCCCAACGTTCTTTATCTTTCTTTCTGTGGCCTAAATCCCACAGCTCTCTATTACTTCAGTGAATGGAGGAACAGCAGCTGGAGAAAAGATGACTTTTTAAAAATAATTGTGTGTTTTGTGGATCAGAAAGCTTGAGAATGTTGATGATGCAGCCACCTAAATGTAAATACACATAATGCACAGTGTAGGCTAGAATTGTAAATGGTACCCTTCAGAATGTTGCTGTGGCTGTAGCCTGAGTTACAAACCAGTTCTGGTTCTGTCAAGTGCTGAAATATGTGGCAAAACCTAAATGGCAGATTGATGTTACAGCTGGCAATTTATTTCCATGTGGATTTAAGAGGAGAGTGTCTTGTTTTGCAAGTGTTAAATGCCCTGATTTGGTTCTATACTTCCAGGCTTCATCTTGCCCTGTTTTGTATTTACAGGAACCCAGGGTTAACAGTTTTGTGAGCACACTTTTTGGAGTCTTAAGGAAGGAAATGAATGTGGTGTGTGTCCCTAATGACTGTTAATGCCTACTAAGCCCCTTCAAACATGAGCCCTCTTTCTGCTTGTGCATACTGCTGTGCTGTGTTATCTGTTTTGTTATTGTTTGCTCATATCAGTATTTCTGTTGTAATTTTCAGAGTTCAGAGAAGAAGAAGAAGAAGAAGAAAATCAAAGAACAAGACGACTAAGAGGGAAATTGAACCCTTTTGGTCTCTGCTTCTCATACTATTCTCTGGAACAGTTTCCCTTGCATTCTTCTTCAAAACCTTCCTGTATTGAGAGGGAGGGCAAGTGGAAGATGAATTTGACAGCCATCTCCTGTGTCTTCCTAGAACAGAGTATGTCAATTCTCTGCTCCTAGGAAGGCCACTAGCCTTTTATAATTCCTCTAATTGATGAGGTCACAATATATCCTTTACTCTTACAGTCATTTTTTGTGATAATAAAAAAAACTTGCCTTTTGTATAGACTTTTGAGCCAAGTTTTGTTTTACCTTGTTCCAGTTTGTTGGCACATAACTCATTTCTGTAACATTTCTACATTAATTGAATGTGTTCAGTTTATAACCAGTAAAAGAAAAGAAAATCTGGTATTCTTAACCTTTTTTAAGCTTAAATGTTCTTATAGTGATTGTCTATAAAGATGGGTTCAAAACCTGGCATACTGCTCCTCCTGCTCTAATGTTGTAAATAGTTGCGTATAATAATTTTGGGAAAATGTATGTACAGAATGAATGAGCTACCTTCTCAGCTATGTACAGTGCAATGGTCATGATAAACCTTTGGTGTTTGGAAGTGATGATTACAGAATGACTGACAAGATTGAGATGCGTGTGTTTTGAAGTAACAGGAGTTATCTTCCAGATTGTCATTGTTGTCATGACCAAGCCTTAGAGTAACTCAGTTTTTTGCCACTTAAATACAAAGGATCATTTCATCAACAGCCTAATGAATGAGCTAAAAAGGAAAGCTTTTTCCTACTATAGAATTATTACTTGAGTTATTTCTACTATTAAATGTAATTGTTCCTGGGTAGTAGATGTATTAGCATGAGATTTCAGAAAACTAATAGTAGACCTTGAAATATAGAGTTTACAATGGATAAGTAAACTTAATCTTTTTTCCCACCACTTAGTACAGATTACCTTTGCTTATAACCTGATGCATTCTTTTTTCTTATTATTTCTATAAGCCATTTTATATTCTTCTTAACCAAAATGACAGGTGCTCTGTCTGGCTTGGAAGACATTTGTTATCTTTAACTTACGATAGCTGTAGGTTTTTATAATGATGATTTTCTGTGTCAGATAACTTACTGTCCAGCTTCTCCCATTTAACTACATTCATGCATTTTAATTGGTTCAATGTAAACAGATATGTTGACTCTCTATAATGAAAATGTTAAACAATTGCTGTAGTTCACCATGTTGGTATAGAAGAGGTAAAATGTATTCCTTTCCCTTCCCCCCCCTCACAGTCTGGAGAAAGCCATAGTCACCTTTTAAGGTTCCACTAGGGGAAGAGCTATGGAGCCCCTACTAGACAGAGCTGCTCAAGAGGTGCTCTGATTCAGTATATCAGATTCCTATTTTTGGCCATATTCCTGTGTGGCACTTGCTGCTTTTCCTTCGTAGATCAGGATTGGTGGGTGTGTTGTAAAGCTGCAGTAGCCCATGCTGTTTTTTCACTGTCAAGACCTCAATGCAAATGGAACTCTAGGCAAATACAAATACTGAGAATTTACAGGCCATTTGTTTCTCTTGCTGGCCTAGTAAAATTGTATAGTAAACCTGAATCAGCAGACAGGTACAATTATCCGTGACAAGATAGAAATCTTGGTTATGATGCCCTTAGTCTTTTTTATTAAAAATGTATTTTCAAATACAAATCATTACAGGCAAGAGATTTCAATATCCTCTTCACTATTAATGTAATCACTTCCCCAAAAGTCTGAGATAAACTATGTATGTGCTGCTCAGGAACTGTCCTAGATAATTCATCTGAATCGGAAAAATGCTATGAACATCTCAGTGGCTAAATTAAGTCTAAGAGATCAGGATTTTTACAAAGATTATTCTATGCTGCTACTTTTTTTTTGTTTTCCTTAAATCTTATTACTTTTATAATAAGAAAAAATGTGGTTTATCTATTCTCTTTTATTTAACATATTTCAGTGAACCGTTACAAGCCAGGCTCCACCATCCAAGACAACACATTACTGCCAAGTCATGCAGAAAATCTTGGAATTGTTTGGCTCTGCCTTCCTCCTAGGACAGTAAATCAAATTAAATAGAATTTACCTTAATCTGTCCCTGAAGCCATGTTTCAGCCAGGGTGCCTCCAGATCCTTTGAAGGGTGCCCTGAGATGTGAGGAGATAACCACAAGAAATGAGCAGGTTTCAGGGAAGAAGTACAGATACAGGCTTCCTTTCCTGGCCTTTCCCCTGCCTGCATCACCCAGGCCCCTTTGTAAGGATAAACACTAATAAATCAGTTTTTTAAATGATGTGTCATTCACTTCACAAAAGGTATGCAGGGGATGCCTTGCATCTAAAAAGGTTGAGAACCAGTGCCCTACATCTTAAAAAATGCTGCAGGTTTTTATGTAACCATATAAAACAGCATTCTACTTAATTTTTTTTATATTTGGATAAGTGCATTAGCTTGATAGGTCTTCTATAATGGTCAGTGAAAACTAATAGTGATACCAAACCTATAATCTTTATATTCCAGAGTTGACATACCTGAATGGTGTTAATCAGTACAGACAGATAACTGACCTGTTTCCTGAAGGTTTGTCTTTTTAAGATTGTATTTATAATTGCAGAAGTGTGGGGGACTGAAGACTTGAATTGACACAGTCCAGCACCTGGTAGAATGGTTTATTTCTGTAATTTGGTAATACTGTGTGTATAGCATTCATAGGGGTGTTGGTAACTATTCAAGCTGCAAGGCAGTGAAGAACTGAACTGTACAGTTTTTTACAGTGAAAGATCAAATCCTCAAGCTTTAATTCTGCAGCAATTTTAAGAGGAATTATGCAGTAGGGTAATCACATTATATAGAGGGCCCATATTATAGATAATTAAACGAAATTATATAGTCTCTGGGGAGGGATTTGAGCCACTTCTCTTGTAAGAAAATGGGCCACTCAGCTTGTCTAAAGTAAAAGGAAACTAAACTAATAACATGGATTAGTTGCTCACCTCAGTACAGAATCTGTATCTCTACCTGTCTAAATTGATAACAATTTGCAAGGATCCCACTAGCCTATTCAATCATAATTGCAATGCAGACTATTCTATGTAGGATGAAGGACCACATTAAATTATTTACTTTTGAAAGTGTCATGAGTGAGCTGCTGCTTCTCATTTAAAGGTATCACAACAAGAAATTGTATGAGTAAAAGTTACTGACCCAAAAGCATTAGCCACCCCAGAGAGGGGAGCAGTTTTCAATGCGATTGCAAGCAACCTTGAAAGTTAATTCTGATTTAGGTTAGACCAACTGATTTCTGTACCCTAACATGATGTTGCCTTGCAACCAAATGAAATCTTATGACTTAGGGGAGACTTACTAGCTTCTCTTGTCCATATATGGCCCTGTCCTAGGATTTAAAATAAGTTGAGGCAAACCCTTTAAAACTCAATTTATTCAAATTGGTGGCCAACTTCTTCACATGAAAATCCTTTATCTGTCTAGCCAACATGGAAAAGATATTGTCTCTACCTGCTGGAAAATACAAACTCTGCTTTTTTTGCATATCTACTATTAATTTCCTCAAATAACTAAAGCACTCAAAATGACTTGCATCCTTCTTCAGTTGTTCAAAAGACTCCAGATATCCCTTGGAAAATTCCAGCTCTTAGTTTTCACTTGTTTTTTGTCTATGGAAGATTAATAGAGCAATTATTTTGCTATAAAGAACTTGGGAAGACCACAACAGGTCAGGATGTTTTTAACACTATGAATTCCCATTTGAAATCTTGGGTTTATCTTGTGACCCATGTCTGCACATGTAACAGTGCTAATGTTGCATAGCATCCTTTACCACCCTTGCTAAGATCTCAAGGCACCTCTGGGTGCTGCAGCACCCTGGTTGAAAATCACTGATTTAGAATTAGCACCACAAATCTGACAAATGTAAGGCCTGCTCCTTCCTGATGGATTTGTTACTCTAGCATTGACATGGAAAATGAAACAGGAAATAAATAGGCAATATATATATATTGGGTATGGGTAACTGCCTATTCAGGTGTCAGAATGAGCCCCCCTCCCCCCAAGACATGGTCGAGGCATGATGGGATCTGATGTGTGATGCAGTCAATCACAGGAGGCGTGATTGTGGAATCATGCATCGGATCCTAGCATGTCTTACTGTTGGTACAGGGGGAGCCTGGAATCAGGATCCTGGGCTCCCCTTGCACTGGCAAGTACTAAGCTCTTGTAGCTGGGAGCCCTGTCAGCTGAGCTGGGCTCGCAGTCATGAGGGTACATGTGGCCACGCATTCAGTTAATGGCATCCTAGGAATCAGCCATAAAGTTATTACACATTTTTTGTAGAATAACTTTGTGACTTCTTCTATTCCTTATTTTATGATGCTATTTATGCTTTAATGTAGGGGTGGAAAGTTATTTCAGCTGGAGGGCCACTTAATGAGTTTTAGTGAACTGTCAAGGGCCGTACACACAAAATCTTTTAGAAGATACCATTTTAACAAATTATAGATAAAATCATACTAAAAATCAAACATCTAACATTTTAATTTTATTTAAAAAAAATCTTTCATCCTGATTGATTTTTGTTTTTGAGTAGTATATATAGAGTCAATTGCAGTACTCAAAATAAAGTCTAACTCTAGTATGCTGTGTTGTGTGGGGATGCTGCCTGCATGCTAGGATCTCAGGACCTGGCTGGGGCGGGGTGGGGGAGAGGCAGGGGTCAGGTGCAACAGAGCTTGCTGGGGCAGTGCAGTGCAGTTGTGTTCTGTGTCCTCCTCCTCCAAGTGGTTCATGGTGCTCTGCATGGGGCTGATCCCACCTGCGACAACCCGTGCTGTGCTTCTGCCAATTGGTCCTAGCCCTGTTCAGTACACACAGCTTCCTAGTGGGGCTGCTCCTGGTGGGACTGCAGCCACCTGGGTACTGCTTTGCTCCCCACCACCTTCAATGGATTCTCCTCCTCCTACCCCTGGTGCGCCACTCCAGACAGTGGGAAGCTGTAGCCTGGCGGCTCCTGTCCTAGCACATGGGGTTCTGGCTCCGGGTCCTGGCTGCCTTCTACCCACTCTGCCTGCCCAGCATGATGAGCAGCCCCCTGCAGGCAGCTAAGCAAGTGGCAGGCAGCCTGGAGATGGAGCACTGTGCATGGGGGCAGGAACTACACAGCTGCAGTTTCCCCCCTCCCTGGAGTGGTGCAGCAGGGGCAGGAGGAGGAGGAGTTGCTGGAAGCAGGGGGAGCTGAGCAGCAGTTGGGTGGCTGCACCTGCACCAGGAGCAGCCCTGCAGGGAAACTTCACATAGGCTGGGGCCATCTGCATGGGTGGCAGTACAGCGCGGGCTGCCCTTGGGGCAGCCACAGGCCACATCCGATCAA